TTKATAGTTTCTGGAAATAAATTTTCAATCAAAAATATGTTCAAACTTCTGTTCCAAAGAGAAACTGATCTGAGCTGGACTCCCATTAAATAAACACTTCCAATTACTGATTTTAGTTTTTTATTCCTCAACCCAGTTCTTCTAGCTTCCCAGTGCTTTATTCTAAGCTGCAATCCAGCAGCAGATGAAGGAGGCTTAGGAAGAAACATCAGATGGTTTTGGTTAGTGTCCCTACCACTTGGAAAATAAACATGTTAGTACCATATGCTGCCCCGATTTTATTGAAGCAAATTTCCTCAAAACGGAAACAAGCTATATCAGTGTACTTGCTAGAATCAAAAGACTTAATATTTGAGTCCTTTATAATTACTCTTTTTTTTCCCTGATTATCAGATCACTGAGTAAGGAAACCTCTCTCCTGGACACAGTACAATATAAAATTAACTCCAGAGTTTGCAGGCTGCAAAGAACACTATTGTGCCCAAGTAGGTTTTTTTTATTAAAAAAAAAGGTTTTAATACTATGTTTTAAAGTACTGTTGCAATTCTAAAATCTAAGGATATTAAAAAAATAATTTTGCAATGAGAGTTTTCATTACTGGATTTCTAAGTCTACTCACCCTTAACTTTGCTTAGTGACTTAAGTGAGAGGGAGCCCAGGGCCTTGGACTGTGGTCTGAGATTTGCAAACATGGTATCTTTTCCTAACACTCCACTCGAATTTTCTGTTACCGAAACAACAACAAAAAAGCTACAATTCAGGGACAAAACTTTGCAAGAGGAATGTAAGCTGGTGATTGGATAGAAAAGTGCTGTTCTCCTGAGACAGGTTAAAAAATAAGCTTGCTAAAACCTGTCCTTCCAAAAATGGTGGCTTTGTCATTGTAATATTTGGCATTTGTTTGTTGTGTGCTTTCATGGAAGCACCGATCACCTCAGTGGAAGTTTCTTTTTTTGTAAGCCTTTACCTTTACTAAGTAGCCTCAATCTTGGTATATATTTATGGGCCCATATTACTAAAAAAAACAGCCGAAGTTTGTTAGTTACTAGTTAAAASTGTGTACTTGAAAATATGCCAAAGTGTCCCTCTCTTCTTTCATCTCATTTTTCTGTACTTCTAAAAAATGTTAATATATTTGAAAGCAGCTGTATTTAGATATACCAGCAATATCAAAGTGAAATGTGTAAAGACATGATGTGTACTAGACATAGAATTAATATAAATTATTGCCTTGCATCAGCGAAATTTTGCTTTTTTAAAGAGCTACTAGACATTAAGAAGTATAACTAATGAGAAAACACATTTGGTGTTAAAATGCTCCCTGGTGTAAAAGGCACCAGAGAAAGCTGGTTGCCTGTTTGATACAGCAGTGCTTTGTCTCTGATATTTAAAAGTCCTTTGTTGATTTGGTTTGCAAAAGCATTTTTAATGTGGCACCACTGAATTGCATGCTGCTTAATAGCTTTATTAGGCCAGTGGAGTTTGTCCTTTAGAAACTGTAGTGTTTTTGAAGATTAAAATGCTTTTAAATATTAATATTAAGTTATATAGTTGATGGGTCAAGGTTTCTATGGAGCAATAAAATTTAATAATATTGTGGAGTGTGCTTTTTGTATTTTTTGGTCCTAATTTATGTTTGTACTTGCATATGCTTAATTTTAAACATCCAAGTATTTCTTTGGAATTAGAGGGTCTGTTCTTAGGCTTGATGTTAAGCCTGCATGTAAGTTTTCAGGGTCAGGATTTATGTTCGCAAAATTCACAGGCTAAACCTGTCAYGTGTCTTCATAGTGACTGCTTTGTATTCTGTATGGTGGCTGACGGGGGGCTGGTCTGCACCTTGAGATATGTGGAGGGTATCAATACTGTACCCAAGCTGACTCCATCCTTGCAATTTGCTCTGCAATGCTACAGGTGTCTCTTTTATTTCTGAAGTACTTCAGTGATACCAGAGATGTCAATTCTTCATGTTCTCATAGATGCTTATTTCAACTGATGTCAGTTTTGCAAGTATTTTGGGGACTGGAACAGGAGGGGAATCTCTTGCAGAGTTTCTCCTGCTGAGCTGTGTGTTAGGTGATGAACACAAAAGCTAAGGTAGGCAGCAGTTTAATATAAAATCAGATAACTTGTGAACGTATAAAATTTCAAATTGTTTTGCATTTTTGCAATTTTTCCCTCCAAATAGTGGGAACTATTTTTATTTTAGACATGGAAACTTGGGGTAACATAGCTCAGTGTTTGCGGTCTCATTTTTGCTTCAAGTAAGCAAGCTGATATTGTTCTGGAGTTGTGGCATTTGGTTAAAAAAGTCTAGAATTTTCTCACTGTCATCACAATAAACTGGACCAAATTGGATAGGAAAGTAATTGTTAGATTATAAATGAGTCAGATCAATGCTATATGAAAGGTAGAGTTGGAAGAGTTGGTTTACTTTGGATGGAGTGATAAATGTTGTATTTTGCCTGGCTCTTTTTCCCATGTTCCATRGAGAGGAATCACTGAGTCATCATAGAACCATTTGGGTAGAAAGGGACCTTACTAGTTTCAATCCCCTGGGAAAGGACATTCCACTAGACCAGGCTGCTCAAAGCCTCATTTTGGTGGAGGCAATCTTTGAATACTAACCAGCCTTTTTGGGCTAGTGTTCCCTCAAGGGCATTAGCCCATGATGCTCTAGCAAGCAGATCCCTGAAGAGGCCAGTCTGCTCTCCTGAACCCCAGGATACTGAGCCTGCTGTGTTCCCTGCTCACTTCCCTGAGGTTCTCAAACTCTGCTACCCTAAGGTCACTAGAGCCAAGGCTTCCCCCTAGCTTCACATTGCCTACTAGACCCTCTTTGTTGGTGAGAACAAAGTACAGCACCTCTTGTTGGTTCTTCTGTCACTTGGAAGAAGAAGTGTTTTTGAATTTCATTGGATTTGAACACACTTAACCACTGTCTGATGGACTGTAYAGAATTTTTCGGAAGAACCCTTGTTTGTAGAACAACATGCAACTTGCTCAAGTAGTATATCCAATATATAAACTGATCCACTTTTAAAATGTTGTAAATGGGAGTCGTAAGTAGTTCTAGGTAATGAAACAGAACAAACTATGACTAATTTTTCCTTTTCCTAGCAATAGAGTACAATAAAAAGTGGTCCATGTTGGAGAACCCGCATGTCTCTGGGCAAAGGGAGGCAACCACTATTTGCAGAAAGACAAACCAGGACTGTTGGAGTGGGTTGGCCGGAGTGGTGTGGTGCTGTCAGATATTCTGCACAATGGAGASAAATGAGCTACAAGCTTCCTACTKCTGTTTTGTACATTCCTTGCAGTGCGAGTGATTTTGAAGTGTGATACAGACTGTGTTTTCCAGCCCCCAAGCTCACACTACCACTGCATGTTCCCATGACCTTCTCTGAAGAGGTTGCACAAGCCCAGTGGAGGATGTCAGGATGCCRGCGTTGCGCATTCCCAGGGGCTGGCTCTTTAGAAAACAATTGGGAATTAGCACAGTTTATTATTTGGGTCCAAGGAAGTGTTCTTAAATGCTCACACTTTTATAGACTCTTGCAGTTGTACTAATTGTGTAG